AACTGCTTTGGGTGAGAGTGATCTAATGTTTAGGAGCCCAAACTTTAAAAATTGTTTTTGTTCATTTATTTTACATTTTTCTGGTTTAATCACGATAAGATTTTTTCTAGATCCTGCATTAAATTTATATTTTGACCTCACTATTTGGGGAACAGACAGTCTTTATAGATTGGACAGCACAAGTACTTCTTTGAATGCTGTTTTGCTTCTATCTGTATGACAAACCAGCATTGGTATGACCATAAATTACGGAGTAACAGTTGGGAAAACAATGCAGTGCCAGAAACATTTGGATTTGTGCAGAATGAGGGAGGTAGGCTTCAGTTTAGTTTTTAAATTAATTTGTTTTGGCTTGACGCTTATATTTAGCCTAAATACAACTTTAGAGGATTTGTTGTGGATAGAAGGGAACTAAAATAGCCTAATTGTGTTTGTAATTTTGCTTTTATTTACCATTATTTTAGCCTACATTATTTCTGAATGCAATAATAAAATGCAACGTACAGCCTACTAATTTAGGCAGTTTTTTTCCTCTCAAAATTAACGCTTACAGTAGTAGCGTTTTTTTTTTTTTTTTTCCATGCTGAAACATTTTTAAAATCTTGAAAAAAAAATGATTTCATGTTTTTATTGCATTGACAGTTTTTTCTTTTGTTTAATACATTTGGTCTTTGGTAAATCTAGAAAAGATGATGCTGTATTGGCTATGACTAAGAGAGCTCATTCAAGACTCTTCATGATTTTTTTTCTTTTTGAGTACATTAAACGCTGTACTTTATTATTATTATTATTATTATTATTATTAAAGTTAAAAATGCAATTGACCAATATTGGTATCGGAATCAGCCAATAGTTGTTTGTTAAAATCGGTATCGGTATCGACCAAAAAAAATCCTATCGGTGCATCCATATGTGACAGTAAACACATTTATAATCTTACAAAAGATTTATTATTTATTAAGATTTATTGTTAGATAAAGAAGTTAACACTGTTCTTTTAGAACTTTCTATAAATCATAGAATCCTGAAAAAATGTATCAGTTTTTTTTTTTTACATTGATAGAAATAAGAAATAATTGAGCACCAATAATAATTAATAAAGATCATGTGACACTGAAGAGTGCAGTAATGACTGTGGAAAATTCAGCTTTGCATTCACAGGAATAAATAAAAAATAAAATCTTTTTTAACTAAAATAAGGGGTGGTTTGGACCAATAAGGATTAAAATAAGCAAGGTTTCGAACTAATCAAGGAATTGTTGATCTAGGTTTTATTTTAAATTGAGGTGTGTTTTCGATTAATTTTCTCCACCATTGTAAATAAACAGCAACAACGTTAATGTTCCATATCCTTTGTTATTGACTACCAGAACCTCTCTCTGACAAAAGTAGCTCTTGCTGGTAAAGGAAGGAAACTTGTAAAATGTCAGGCATCTGTTTAAACTGCTACATAGAGAGGCCGTTAGAATTAATGGCTGATCAAACAGGCAATGAAAACATTAAGGGAGCCTGTACAGATTTTATTAGCCTGAAAATATATTTATAGTATCAATTAATGGAGTAGTATGGCAGCAGAGCTTATGACAAAATAACCAAGATAAGAGAAAACCACTGGCAAGATTTGTGGAGTGACTACCTCCGCTTGTGACAGTACCTCCTTGTCCGTTTGATCACCACCCAGCAGGCACTCGTGAAGTGGGCATGAGAAACAAGAAATGTGGCAACAATGACTGGTGCTCATCATCACTGCTGCCGTTAAATCATAAATATATGAAGAGTTAATTTGCAGAAACAAATAACTCAGTTTTTAACCATTTTCAAAAATCATGTTTTTTTCATTGTGCATTCCAGTTAATCTCAATCAAACTGCAGTTGGATTATTTTAAGTAAACAATTACTAAAAAAATACAGCTAACCAACACAGCAAAACACAAAAACATGATAACATAATAAAAAACATGTTTGTTTTTTTTACATTTTAAAAAACGGACTTAACTGTTTTTGCAAAAACTCTTCATGTTCTTTTCTTTGTCCAACACCAAGCTGCACCGTGAGCATAAGGGATTTGTCAATACATTTCAAAAATCTTAATTATTCTAAATGTTTGATAGGTATATATTAATGTATGCATTAAAACACATTTATAAAAATAGTAAGCATATAATTACAAAAGATAATATTAAGTCATTTCTTTTTATTTGTTCTGACCAACCTCTAATTTATACTCTTTCCACTACATCCGAGCATGGAGGAAGTAGTCCATTTTATAAAAAAATCTAAGTCTACTACCGGTCATGTGAATCCTATTCCAGCGTATCTGGTTAAAGCCTGCTTACCTTCTCTCTCTTCTTTAATTACTGATATTACACACTTTTCGCTAGATTTTTGGTATTGTTCTGTCTTCACTCAAAACTGCTGTGATAACTCCTATACCTAAGAAACCGGGGGCTGATTCGAGTAACTTTGATAATTTTCACCCCATTTCAAATCTCCCATTTCGTTCTAAAATACTGGAAAGGATTGTTGCAGCCCAGGTCCGGGATCATCTGTCTGATAATAGTCTGTATGAGCAATTTCAATCTGGCTTCCGTTCACATCATAGTGTTGAGACTGCATTAGTTAAGATTTCCAATGACTTAATGGCAGCTGCTGATTCAGGACTTCTGTCGATTCTTATTTAGCTTGATTTGAGTGCAGCATTTGATACTGTCTCGCACAGTATTTTGTTGGACAGATTGGAGTCTATTGGAATCATAGGAATTCGCTGGCTTCGAGCTTATCAAACGGGTCGTACTCAATTTGTACAGCTGAAGCAGTTTACATCAAAGCCTTCATATTTTACTCCTGGGGTTCCACAGGGCTCAGTTTTAGGTCCTCTCATTTATTATTTATCTTCTACCTCTTGGTAATATTTTTAGGATGTTTGGTATTCAATTCCGCTTCAATGCTGATGACACCCAACTTTACCAGTCCTCCAAACCCACCTCTACTTTTCCTCTGTCTATCCTCTCAGATTGTGTAGCTGAGATTAAAGACTGGTTTACATCAAATCTTCTTAAACTAAATATTAGTAAGACTGAAATTCTTCTTCTTGGTACAAAAACCAATCTGGCCAAGTCTAAATGTTCCTTAGTGAATATAGATAATTTTCCAGTGTCTGTTTCTGAACAGGTTAAAAGTTTGGGTGTCATCTTTGACAGTGTTTTATCATTCGAAGCATATATAAACTGTGCCATTCGCTCTGCATATTTCCACATACGTAATATTAATCGACTTCATCTGGCTTTTGGTAAAGAGCACAGCAATTCTTGTTCACGCTTTAGTCACTTCCTGTATTGAGCATTGTAATGCTCTTTTTTTTTTATGGTCTGCCTTCAAAGCTTCTAAATAAACTTCAGTTAGTACAGAATTCAACTGCACATATTATTTGCAGAACTCCTATAACTGAACACATTTCTCCCATATTACAACACTTGCATTGGCTCCCAGTTCAGTACCGTATTGACTTTAAATCCTTCTTCTTACAAGGCACTCAATAATACTTATCTGACCTCCTTCATATCTACACTCCTACTCGCACTCTAAGATCATCTTCTGTACTCACTCTTGTTCACCCTCGAATTCACACAACTTCTATGTGGTCTCAAACCTTTAGTCATGCAGCTCCTCAATTATGTTTTTAAATCTCACCTTAAGACCCATCTTTTTAGGCAGGCTTTTTTGTTATTACTTGTATGCTTGTATCAGGTCTGTCCAGGCTGTAATAATGATTATTGTTGTGACACTTGTAAATTAAATAATAATTATATAACTCTGCTTCATTGACTTGTAAACTGTCAATGAAACTTTGATCTGTGATAATTAACATTCAATATCTGTTAATAACCCTGAAACGCAAAACCAGAAACGCATCCTAATTTTCTTTATGCAGCTTTACAATATCTGAAATTTGTTTAATTGTGACTTTTTTTTCTTTTGTAAATTTGAGCTCAACCCTCTCTCTATTATGGATGTCTTTTGAATTCTGTATACAGGGTGTTGTAGTTTGATGTAAAACATTGCTGACTCTATACCTGAGGAAAATAACTTTGTTCCAGTCACTTCACTGACAAAATTATATCTATTATCAGCATTTTCGGACTTTCAGCATAGCTGTACATAATATGTGATCTGCCTTTAGTTTCAAATGCTGGTCAAAATTAGATTATTTTATATATATATATATATAAAATGGCAAGGCATATTTCTTATAGTTGATATACTAAATGCTATAAATTGTACAATCTGTAAAGATTATTTTTAGGTTTCTGAACATGTAACAGCTGTGAAAATGACTGGTCCAAATAAATTGATATTCTATACATTTTTTTTACTTACTGTTGTCCTCTTATAATTTAATAAAAAAAACTTGAAACAACAGCGTACATTTTATATTTATGTTTGTATTTTACATTATAACAAAGTTGCATGAATTAAAAAAAAAAAAGAGGTCCCTCAGTGTCAAATGTCCAGTTTTAGGGTGGGCAGCCGTCTTGAGCACCGGTAGCCATGTGTAACCAGTAGTCCTGATTCTTGAAGCAAACAAAATTGTAGAAGTTTTCACCACTTTTGAGGAATCCATGTTCTGTGGCTCCCCACGACACAGGACTATCCATAAATCCATGCACAGTGAGGGAGATCCACGGTGTAAACTTCGGTTCATCGAAATACTGCCTGGATGATTCAGGGCAGAGAAATAAACAGCTTGTAAGTTTCAAAAGTACACTATACTATACTTCTAATAAGAGTATGTCTTAGAAATATTACTTAATATTACACTTATATATACACAGTTTTCAGACACTTAGTTGCAATTAAATGTAAATGTATTATAATTTAACATTAAATACAATTAGCTGAACTTTAAAGGGTTTTTTACCCACTAAGGGGGACTTTATACACAAGGTTCTGGCATGAAACTCTAGATGACGCGGTCCGATAGATCTAACTCAGTATGACAATGACATCACGTCACAGCTGATTGGTTCTCTCCTGTATCGGTAGCCAATGAGCTCGCTGCTCAACATTTAAATACTTGGCTAATGCTTGTGGTAGCAGTTTGCAGCACACTTCAGAAACCCTCCACCTTCCCCAGCTCCACCTGTATAGATCTGCTAAGGGGTGATTCATGTATGCTATGGGGGTTATTCCATATATGTTATATGTGCAGCAGCAGTATTTCTTACATGCTCACAGCAGCATGTTGTGGATGTATTGTCAGTAGCAAGTCTAGGTACTTGCTCTGCCACAGCAGCCGCGTAGCAGATCTATTCCGCCAAGTCCAAATACATTAACATTGTCATGTACATTACCATGCCAATCCGAGAGTTGTCATGACAGAAATGTACATCTTTGTAATCTCATTATTACTTCTGTTGTCTTATGAAATATGGTTAAAGTGTACTGAATGCCCTGACAAGAATTTACAAAACTAAAATATACTGTAATGACATATCTATTGAAACATGTCATATGTAAATTTATTGCCATATCATGGCAGACACAAATTAAACATTCATCAAAATATCATGAATACAATATTAAAATATTAAAAAAACAAACATTTTATAAAATTCAATTAAAAAAGACAAGATTGTACATTTCTATAAAAGATTATTTAAATGTACTTGTGATAAAGTTTTTCTGGGTCAACCTGTATTTAATTACACATTAGTAATGATAAAGTTGCAATTTAGTGCATTTAAAATATATTGATTTTAAATATAATCTTGTATAACACACTAGCACTACTGTTAAAATTAGAATCAATTACTTTACAAGTCCTTTGGTATGTTAGTCACCACATTAAAATTAGTATAATAAAGTGCATTTTTAATGTGTACTCTTTAAGTACACTTAAGTTGCCTTTTATTTAATTAATATGAATTTATTTTAAATGTAGTTTAAGTATTTGAAGTACACTACCAGTGCACAGTCAATACAATTCAAGGCACTTGTTTTTCACAAAAATTACGACACAGAACTTTGAAAATAATGACTATCTTGATCAATGTTGTAATAATGCCACTGTGTTTATGGGGAAATTATCTTACAAATGGCATACTTCTAGTCGTCTCTGCATATTAAGTTGGGATACAGTAGGTGACAGTAATGCTGGGCTCTCACCTGAGTTCTTGCAGCAGCACAAACACATTCTCAGGTGAGATAAAGCCAGTAACGGTGCACAGCAAGGCCTGACTGACAGAGCTCTGGGGCTCTGGACACACATATGTCGACAGGAAACTGTCAGCAGCATTTTCACTGAAAACATACACAGTTAAATTGAGAAATGCAGTCAAACACACCCAGAACTCCTTTATTGTCATAGACAATTCATTTAGTCTCTTTGTGCCACAGTCTTCAGGTACTAATTGTACAATATATGGAGCCAATTCGACTATTTAGCAGATGACAATCCTATAAGAGCACTGCATGATACAGCAACTGGCTTTTGTGAATTTAACACTTTATAACCGTTCCTCAGCTCACTCACCAGCTGATGTCCAGGTTAACCGCTCCAAGCCACTCCAAGAAGTGATGTGGGTCACATGACAGTGTCTTTCCTTGTATATCTGATGGGTAAAGTGTGGGACATGGTATATTTTTCAGGGTGTGATGGCTGAAAGCAGGCTTGTGTTCCTCGTATGAGTACTGGGACAACAGCTTGTTAAGAGTGTGATCTTCATCTGAACCTGAAAAATTTGGAAATACAAAAGGCTAAGGCAATTTAAAAATGTGTTTGTTAAGGTCAGTGATGGGGATGATGGATTGCTTAAGACAAACCTGTGTTGTATTTAGTGAAAAGAAAGTCATATCTGAGTGGTAGTCTGTCCTTCAAACTTGAGAGAACCCGCTGGTATCGTTTGGTGCCTGGGGTCAAGCTTTTGTCAGTGAGATCCAGAGTCACGACTGCAAAACAAAGACATTTTATAATTATTATTATAATACTAGTATTTATGTTCACAGAAAATGTTATGTTTCACATAAAACACCTTCATTTCATGCATAAAAAGCTACTGAGAATAAAGAGATTTACCAAATCTCATGGCTTTTTTGTGATTGTACAGAGATGGGCGTCCCTCCAAGCCAAGTTGTTCATATGTGTCTTTATCTAGAGACAAAATTAACTGACCTGAAAAGAAAAAAAAACAGTTTAAAATTAATATTTCATGTCTATTAGTCCATGTCTATATGCTAATGTGCTTGTCACAATTAACTCTTAGCAGATGTTGGCATTTTAAATTAAACCAACTAGCAAGTATGTTAATATTAATATATTAAAGTAATAACTTTAAAATAAAATGGGGGGGGAAATCAAGATAAAATGTATAGAACATAACTTCTGGACTTACAAAATATCATGATTAATGTAAAATACTAAATTAACCAACCACATTAATTCAATATATCAAAAGTAGTAGAGTTTGAAGACAAGCAATTATCTCAATTATAGCAGAAAAAAAAAAAGTTTCAAAACCATGTAATTTTATGGGGGTTTTAGAATACACTAAGGACCAGTTGCATAAACATAGTCACTATGTTACGACTGTGTCTTAAGAACTAGTTTGATTAGCCAGCAGTTAACCAAGTGGTAATCGGTCTTAATTTTCAGATTCAAATTAGACCAATCTACGTTACGTAAAAGAATTTGTTTGTTTTTTTTATGACTCATCCTGCAGAAATAATGACTAACTTTTAAGACTAGTCTAAGCTGTTTATGCAACCGGCCATCCAGACAATGATGTTTATCCGTGTAAGTATTTTGCTTACCGCTGGAAAGTAGTGCAATGGCATTGTCTTCATCAATTTTGGTGTTGTAAGAAAGCGCATAGAAGTTTCCTGTGTAAAAAGATAAAAATCTAAATATCTGATTCAATACAAAAAAAAATGATATTGACGTACAATAGCATATTTCTCATCCTACCCTTCTTTACAAGTGACTCGAGGAACGGTTCTTCCAGTAGTTGATAAACCGGCAGATCCCGCACTAAATAATAAGGGCTGAAGCTGTGGATGACGCTGCTGACATTGGCAGGCAGGATCCCACATTCAGGTACCAGCACTGAGATCTGCGGACACAGCGGCATCCAAATACAATCGAAGCACAGTTGAAAAATCAATATGTTGAGCAAATGTTTAATGATTAAACTCACTTTGTAATTAAAGTTGTGCTTCGACACGTGGATGTCATGCCGAGACTTTTCATTCAAGAAGTTTGATTTCTCGCACACCAACAGGCTTCTCGGGCACTTTTCCAGCTCTGGCGACATTTTGATATCTATGCGCAATGTCTACATTTTTATGAGATCAGTCGAGCAAAAAGAAACAAGCTGATTGAACTCCGTGGCTTAATGTTCAAAAAAACGGCTACCAACATCTGTCGCAAACATTTGACGTCAGTTCCTGCTTAAGGCAGGCTCGTAAAACAGTTTGGGTTTGTTACTTTATCTATTTTAAAAGCCGTTCGGGTTATTCTGATTTATTATAAATAACGTTCCATGAGGGTAAATTAGTATAACCGAGTTACTACCAAAACTAGAAACGATAATAGACCTAAAATAATAATAATAATAATAATAATAAATAAATAAATAAAAAACTAGAATGACTTATATATATAGCCTAAATGATCCTGCTCAATAATACATAATGGTTAGCTAAAATACCCTTAAGTGTTAACGTCTTTAAAAAAAGGAAAAAGATAGCAATTCCCCCTTTTAAAGGGAATTATGTAAGACATTTATTTATAGGCTATATGTAAAACCCCAGTGTCAAATGTCCCCAATTACCTAATTTACCCCTTTCAAAATCCTAAGGAATTTAATCATAATTTGGAATCAATCCAAAAGAATCCTCTAAGATTAAAGGGACAGTTCAATCAAAAATTTTTATCATTTGTTGTTCTAAACCTGCATGAGTTTATTTTTTCTGTTGAACACAAATGAAGATATTTTGAAGAAAGTATTTTTTCCCAAATAATACGTTTCCAGCATTCTTCAAAATATCTTCAACAGAACAAATAAACTCATACAGGCTTGGAACAACGTGGTGAGTAAATAATGACAGAATTTTCATTTTTGGGTGAACTATTCCTTAAAAACAAGATTCTACTAACTGAAATTCTGGAGGGGAAAACAACTTCAACATAATAATAATGTAATATAATTAATTATTAAACCGACTGCACTCTGTTGTCATAAAGGGTGTAAACAGATCCACGTGCAGAAATATGTGCTCACTGTCATGTGCGCACAAGCACTCTGCAGTATACGTCATACTGTTTCTGCACTAGACAATGATTGACAGACCAGACAACATACAGTGGAAGACCAAATGTGACTTTAAAGATTGGATGTTCTTTACGATTCTTTATTATTACATAATAAATTTTGCTTTAGTCTAACTAGGGAACAAATTATCAATTTTTTTGGGCTACTCTAAATAAATATGAATTAAATGACATTAATTACAGAAGAAAAATCTTGTCACTTGTCAAAATAAATAGCTTAAATAAATAAAAAATTGCACAATGTAAAATCTTTGTTTTTTTATTTATTGATAAATATATTAAATAACTATGACTATGTCCTCAAAGCCCTAGGCTGGTTTCTGGCTTTTAAAAGTCTTTTTTTTTTGCTGATTAGACATCACTAATTTGTTTGCAAAGACAAGTGACGTTGCTGTGACGCAACTCATGTGCACATAGTATTTGTCAAGCATCTTTCTTACGCAAAGACTGCAGGTCCAGCTCTGATATTTAAAAGACCTTCCGCTCCTCAATTACATCTGAAGTGGTCGATATGATGAATACTCATGGACAAGGAGCAGTCAGAGGAAACTCAAACTTCAGACAAGACCGAGTGTCTGTCTGAACCAGAATCATCACCTTATTCACCAAAAACTGACAGGCAAAGAGCCAAATCTCTGCCTGTAGACCTATACCAGCATGAATCTTCCTCACACAAGGAACATCCAGTCCGTGGAAAGAGAGTCCAATTTGCAGACATGATGGGGTTGAATCTGGCAAACGTCAGACACTTTGACATCTCTGATGATGCAAATGAAACATCTGGACTCCAGAATCATCCTCCAAACCAGCAGCTTCAGCATCTGAATTCAGCACGTTTAGCACCAGCCTTTGAAATGCCTGTTAGTTCGCTGGAGTTTGATATGAAGTCACGCCGTCTGGGAGTCGCATTGGAGAGTGTCACAATAACCGCTTCTGAAGTGAAGGGTGTGATAATAGTGATGCAGAGCAACGCAAGAGAAGCTGGGGTCAGGTACACTTTAAACAACTGGCTGACATTTTCGGATATACAAGCTGCATTAAGACTGAATGAAGAAAAGGGGCTAGAGTGGGAAAAGTTTGACTTCGTTTTGCACACGCCATTCTGTTTTGACGAAGATTCATCAGTGCATTTCGCAGTGTATTGTCAAACTGATCACGGAAAATACTGGGACAATAATGATGGACAGAACTACACTTTGAGGATTCAGACTCACTATACTTGACAATACAAGGATTTAATTGATGCAACGATCTGAAATTTAGTTCAATAAAGTGAACTTGACTTTTAGTTGCATGATCATTTGTCTTAATCGTTTGAACACATTTTAATTAAGTCATACTACCATATTGTAGGTAACATGTTTAGTATTGCCATATGTCTTAAAGATCTGCAAAACAAACTTACGTGTTGTTGCTCAAATGTAGGTAATCTATTTGTGTAATTTTTTTTCTATTTACAGTGATTCTCATATTCTAGCCATTCATTATATGCATCTTATTTATTGGCTAAAAAATATAACATAAACATACATTTACAGCATACTCTAATATACAATTTTTACAAACGTGGTCGACTAGTGTTGCAGCTCCCAGGATAAACAGATTTGTCATTAACCCTCTGGGGTCCGAGGGTGTTTTGGGCCCTGGAGAAGTTTTGACATGTCCTGACATTTGTGCTTTTTTCAGTTGCTAATAAACATTTTAATGGCTAAGTTTAGTAGCACCATAATCAGCACAAACTGGGCTACAATAATATGTGGGCAGCATGTAAGTATGTGATTGTGTTTTTGAGAAAACAACGTTTATGCGTGCTTAATGAAAAACTAAAATTTTAAAGTCACTGAAATAAGGCCATAAAACACATACAGAACATTTGTTCACAAGACTATTGAGAACTGGTAGACCATTTACAGATTCGATTGATGTATTGCTCTTATCTGTAAGATCAAACTGAAAGTGTAATTTAAGTTCTTTTCGGTGTTATCAGGAGAAGATGCCACAAAACGCGTATCCGCGTTAGTCGACCCCAAAGGGTTAACAAACCAGACATTTTGATTCTGAAGACACTTATAAATGAGGCTCTATTTCAACAATGGTCTTCTGGGCAGAATACAGATGGCCAATGGAAACCTGTGAGACAAGGATAAGAGATACTTAGATATAGGACATTAAATGTGATTTTAATTATTAGCAACTCTAAATATTATTACATTCTCCTATTTGGATCAGGCCATTCAAGTTCGTTGGCCATAAAAATCATACTGGAATATTAAACAAAGCTGGCATTGCTTGCCTGTCTCTTGATGGCCGCCAGATTCTCTCTAGCTTGATTTATGAGCATATCCAGTGTTTTGGGGTTGTCAACATGAAGGTTCTCCCTGAAGCCATCTTTCACTCTGCGAAGTGCGTATGTTCTGAAAACAAACAGTATTTTTATAGTAAATAACCAGTAGATGGGACATATTAGTTTAAATATAAAACGAATTAAAAAGGCATGCGTCGTTTACATATATACATATATAAATTATCGTTTAAAATTACTAGTTTAATAATACAGTGACAACTAGACAAAGACAACATGCACGAATATATATCATTATAATTTATACAGAATATTTTTTCACAGTGAATAATAAAAAGCGTACCTGTAATTATATGAGGGGAATTTTTTACTCTCTTTCATAAGCATCCTGTAGAGAGAGATCACTTGAGCCCTGCTGCACGACGCCATGTTGATTTCAGTGTAGTTCTTCTCGTGTTGCGTTGAGTTGCGTTTGATACATCGCCATCTAGTGTCAGGATCATAGACTGTGGTCAGGATCCGTTGAGCAGATGGCCGTGGAATGTAACGCACTATGTGCATTCCTACAATAAAGAGGCAAATGCCATTTTTAGTACTAGTACATTTCAGGACATTTTTGCAGATTACCAACCCATGTCAGTGTTTCATTCCGACTGTATATTAAAATGCAAATGCAATTTACTGGAGGTGCACTTTTTGTGCAATTTTTCAATGCTACCTTTTATGAGCGCTATATAGGGCAGTTAACATCACATTAGGAGAAATTCATGTCCACAGTAGTGTTGTGCCTGGGGAGACCACAGAAGATCCCTAGGGCCGCATCATGGCTGACTGTTGGCATATGGGGCCTCATCACACTAACTGTGCTGTGTAAAACAAGACTGTTCACTTTTTGCTAAATGAAAACTATGTGGAAAAAACATAGACTCCTGAAACAATTGGGTCTAATGTATGTACTGTATGTATCTTTTACTGTTATTTAACTAGCAAATATATAGGAATTAAACTACCATCTTCAAAATTCATGTTTGTTTGTTTGTTTGTAATTAGAGGTGCACAATAACAGAATTAAACACCACCATCTCAAAAATTCATGTTTGTTTGTTTTATAAATAGTTATATACAATAGGGGAATGAATCACTATCATTTCCAGAATTCATGTTTGTTTGTTTTAAAATTAGTGGTGCACTATAGGGTTGACAAAAATCACTATCATTTCCAGAATTCATGTTTGTTTGTTTGTTTGTTTTGTAATTAGTAGTGCATAATAAAGGAATTACCACTACCATCTCCAGAATTCGTGTTTGTGTGATTGTTTTATAATTAGTAATGTACAATAGGGAAATAAATCACTATCATTTACAAAATGCATGTTTATTTGTTTGTTTGTTTTGTAATTAATAGTGCACAATAATGGAATTAACCATCTCCAGAATTGATGTTTGTTTGATTGTTTTATAATTCGTAATGTACAATAAGGAAATAAATCACTATCATTTCCAAAATGCATGTTTGTTTGTTTTGTAATTAATAGCGCACAATAAGGGAATTAAACACTGCCATCTCCAGAATTCATGTTTGTTTGTTTGTTTTGTAATTAGTACACAATAAAGGAATTAACACTGCCATCTCCAGAATTCATGTTTGTTTTTATTTTTTATTTTTGCAAAATTACTGTAGCACTTATACTCCATACTCTATCATTCAGATGAAAAGCCAGCCGGAGAACCTGAGTAACCTCAGCTTCCTGAAGTATACCCCGCAGCTACCACACAAAATTAAATTAATTACAAATGTTAACATCTTCATGAGCATTGAGCTGAACCATTGAAATCTCCGTCTCTCATCCTTGACTTTCTGCATTCAAACATGTCACCTGTGTTTATTATTCATCCTCTGCTCTGCTGCTTCCATTTCCACAGGGTCCACATAGGATCTACCGTCTGCCCCATTTACTCACACAACCTCCTGCATTATTAACAACCAGAAAGAGCCTGGACTCTTTCTGTTTTGTAGCCCACAGAACGGAAGACATGACGGTACAATGGCCTTCTTCTACGTGACAGTTATTCAGAATTTTGCATATAAAGAAACTGGTTCTGATAAATTTAAGATGCACAGAAGAATTCCATATGCATAAAGTCATGATTCATATGATAAGCAGACCTGTTTGATGGACTTTAAGTACATCTACACTGGTAATTAGAGTCTTCACAGGTACATAGAACTGATATTTTCACAATAAGATGGTGCACATTACGTAGTATTATTGCTCTAGACAGCTGGTGTTTGTAAAGAGCACATTCTGACTCTCCTCAGATACCAACTGCCATCATCTGTTCTGACAACGCCTTAAATATTTCACATAATGATATTCATCAGAGGCATTTCCATGGCTTATACTAAACTTTTATGACATTTACAATTAAACATCTAGTCGTATTAACTGTTATCAACTGGATTTTCAAAGGTGAAGTTTTTTTTTAAAACTATATTTAAAGCATGGGAATATGGTTCAGTATGTTTACTCAATATTTCTAAGAATGCCATATAAGTATAATTAGCAATTAGAATTTTTTTTTCTCAGAAATTGCTAGTAAATTCTACAAACAATTACAAAGAATGGCAACTAATACAATGAATTATACATGAAATTTTGAAGTAGAACTTAAATAGTATTTTCTTGTAAAACACACTACTGTAATTTTTGTGTAAGTAGACAATTTATATACAAGCTTACTATGTTCACCTGCAATGTTGTCCTGCAAATCTATAGTGAAATCTAGTTCTGCTGTCAAAACATGCGAAGCGATCATGTCCGAGTGGTTTATTGTTCGGGATGCTGTCTTGAGTATGGAGGAGTCGCTAAATTATTAAACACTTATGAGTCACTTATAGTTTCTGCTCTGGATCTTGCATATACAGTACAGAGACAATTCATTTGTGCATATGTGATGCAATCGATGTTGATTGAATAAATAAAGGAAATCTTGTTTCATTTTCCACTCACAGATCCATCCCACTTACAGTATCTTCTCCTCTCAAGGTGACTGAATTAGACTTGCTTTTATTTTGTTCACATCAGATTACGTAGCAAACAAAAAGACAGATGTGTTTGAGTCGATGAATGCACAATCCCTTCAGGGAATGCTTAGGACCTTCAGCACAGCACGTGTTAATAACCAGGTCGTGGTCCTATCTCAAGGGCTCATATTCACAATAAAAAGAGCATCTGGGCCTCTCCTGCCATTAATATTCCACCAGAGATGTGCCCCCATTTTAATATGTATTGTGTGTCTTGCTTTAGACAGATGTTCAGTTTTTTTTTTTTGCCATCATTAGAGGAAAAAACGCTGGGGGCTTCATAACTTTGAGCATGCAACTCCTCGTGGAAAATATATGGAATTACTTGCATTTAGCTGTTCATTTTATTTAAAGCAACTCAATGTACTATTTAGATGATCAAGAATCTCAAAATACAACAAATCATATGTGATGTACTGTATGGAGAAGTCAAACAAGCAACAACAACAAAAACCTTAAATAAAAAAATCTGGGTGTTTATTCAAACATTTGATTCATATTTCATTTGTTTCAGTGTCAACAAAAGATGAGACACTTCTAAAATTTGCCCAAATGCCTTTTTAATTTATAAGTGTACATTTACAAGTAAATGTCATTATCCTATACTGTATTAAAATAATCAGTTTATCAAGTTAATTTTATTTGGGCAGATTTGTCTATGTGATGTTTAAAAGTCTGTGATGTTAAATATGTGCTTTTCAGACAATAATATGTATTTTAGGTGTGCTTTAAATAATAATAATAAAAATTATTCTAATTATTGGTCCTCGTTGTAAAATGCACTATTTTTACCTAATAATGGTCCAAGAAGAAAAAATGTGTTTTAAAATAATATTTTTTTCATATAATATATTTCACATTTTTACTTTGAATCATTTTCAAATGTTGGTAAAAAAAAAAGAAAAAAAGACCTAAGACCCATTTAAGAGAGTGACTTCGGAATTCTTCCATAGGTCAAGGAGTGCCAACGAGTCCTATATTTAACATAATCATCATATCATGTGAATCAAAACATGTACTGAGTCAGTTGAAGAGAGACAGGGATGCATATTATCCATTCTGTAACTTGTTTCAGGTCAGATCTTCAGGTTTATTACTCAAAAGCAAGCCAAACCACCAGTGTGGTAAAACACATCAGCAATATCTTCAGTTCCACTGGTAATAAAACTCTGGATACTCCATTATCCCCGGAGCATAATTCAAACAAGCTTCCCTGATAGTTCAAGCTCCGGGACTGCAGTTTCAGTTTTTCCCAGAGGTCTGTTGCTCCTTCTTGACAATCTGCGATTGCGGTGGAGGCACACGAGTGGAAGTCATTCCAATATCTGCATGAGGATAAACATAAAGTGCACAATCTGTTTTAGTCCTTGCGAATGAAATATGTTTCAGTATTGTGAGTCTGAGTCACGGATGGCACGAGTTCTACTCATGGATATGTGAATATGAGAAAGACCACCAGATATTTAATGCTTAGCTTCTTCCAGAAATGATTGCAGATAGTGTGTACTTACGAGCAGATGGTCTGTAGGTTTTCGCGGTCATCCAGCTCTTGGGGATAGTTCACCATGTTTTCTCCAAGGCTGAGCAGGCAGTCTGAGAAACCTTTAAATACGTTTTCACATGTTCCTCCAGCACACGCTGCCTGTAACAATGAAACTGAAATACACCAGAATAAATCACCCAGAATAATACACACAAAATTTCGCGCTTAAAAAAAGCTTGAGTATTTCATATCATCCTCAATTTATAATTAATAACCCAAACAGCCCAAATTAACTAAACTGTGACCTTCACAGTAACATTCAATAAATACATAGGTTAAATATTACATTAAATAAAAAAAGGATATATTTTATAATGTATTTAAAGGCAAGGTCTGAAAATTGAATTCCAGCTTTTTTTTTTTTAAATCTAATTATTACAACAAAACAAGAATCAATATTCTGCATATATCTTAACGCAATGACTCACCCAATTCCAGTGTGAAAAGTATCGAGTTGTATTTGTCGGTCAAAGTCAGTCCCATCCTACGCTTAACAGAGTCTGTGGAGGAGGTCTGGAGTCTACTTCCTCTTATCAGCAAACTGCTGCATTTCAAGAAGAATTAACTTACTTCTGTCACGCATTTCCCACAGTTGACTGAGATAAAGTCGACTGTAGAGGAATGGAGGAGATGTCACCTACGTTCACACTCCTCCTTTACTTTCTTGCGCCATGATGACGTCAGCGTGCACCTGACTGACAAAACCTCACGTTTTAATATAACGTTTTTATTTCGTGCTGCATATTTATTGGAATCGTTGTAAAATGTATTCAGGTTTAGAAAAAAAAAAACTGTAATTTATATTTAGAACGTTTGAAATCTTAAGGTTTTTCTAATATAAAAAGTCTTACAGTTGACTCGAAATAATCTAAATAAGTGTAAAAAGCAAATCAGAATTTAAGACATTTAAAATTAACTTACTTAGAACATACATGTTCTAAAGATGATCATGTTTTACACAGCGCTCTTGTCGTACTGTAGGCCTAGGTAGCTTATACAGACATATAAATGGGTACCAGAGTCAGAGGTGAGATATTTTGTGAGAAATGGGAACCAAACGTGCCTTAAGCGCCCCCAAGCGAGTAGTATTAAATAAAATAAAAAACATTATTATTAACAACATTAGGGTAAGATGGGGACGATGCCCCCTTAAAAACAATGTGCATTTACTTTTAAATGGTAACATATTTAGATAAAAGTTTTATATATATTTAATTGTCCATATTTTAATTGAACAAATGTCATAATAGCAACACTATAAATGCAAAATTAATGATTTCAATTAGACAACTTAATGGGTTTTAATGAAAAGCAAGGTGTCTGAAATGTACTTCTAATACTGAATAATAACTCCATTCATTACAATAAGTAATTGGGTCCTTCTATGCCTTCTAGTTCAGGGGAGGTCATCTTATCCCAAGGGTCTAATTTTATCTTTTTATCAAAATAAAACTATTTTTTACTCCACAAATCTACAAACAGAACCAAACGTGCCTTAAGCGCCCCCAAGCGAGTAGTATTACATAAAATAAAAAAACATTATTATTAACAACATTAGGGTAAGATGGGGACGATGCCCCCTCAAAAACAATGTGCATTTACTTTTAAATGGTAACATATTTAGATAAAAGTTTTATATATATTTAATTGTCCATATTTTAATTGAACAAATGTCATAATAGCAACACTATAAATGCAAAATTAATGATTTCAATTAGACAACTTAATGGGTTTTAATGAAAAGCAAGGTGTCTGAAATGTACTTCTAATACTGAATAATAACTCCATTCATTACAATAAGTAATTGGGTCCTTCTATGCCTTCTAGTTCAGGGGAGGTCATCTTATCCCAAGGGTCTAATTTTATCTTTTTATCAAAATAAAACTATTTTTTACTCCACAAATCTACAAACATTGATGTGTCCACAAATCAGAAACCTTTTAAGTTCAACAAAATACAATGTCATAGATCACTATTTTCCAGAGACTCAAAATTCGATCAATTAACCTACATCTTTTGACTAAATCTCACAAAGGTATATGAAACGTGAAAGGTACATTCATATGAAATGACCTTTTTTTTTTTTTAAAGCATTGCCATTCATCAATGGTTTTGTCTTCATACACTTACACTTATGGATAATGAATTTACCCAAAATCAAGATTACATTTACAAAAAAAAAAATAAATAATCAACATTCAGTCCTTTTGTAAAATAAAACATTTCTGACTATTACTAATATTTAAATAGCTACTATTTTTGCTCATTACACATACTGCAAGAACAGTTGGCTCAAGGGGATCCAGTTTGAGTCTGAACAGGTCAAGTCCCAATCCCATGTCCCTTCTCTCATCCCTACTTTCCTGCCTCCACATTAATACACTATACAATAAACTATTATACAGTAAATTACCTGTATACCTGTAGTATTAGAACCAAAAAAAAATGCCCTCGTAAAATAGAATAAACTCTGAGTAAAATGTTTTAGTGTAGATTGCTCCGAGACCACTGATAAGCAGTAGGCTACATACTATTTACCATCAGATGGCACTGTTGTCAAATTGGTAAGGTTTATTGTGTGTAAAGCTACTAGAAGCATGTGTTTCTTCAACACATGCTCATACACAGGTATTTCAAATAATTGTAACATCCATATGTGCATAAACACACGCTCACACTCATTACAACACAGAAGTGAGCTGTACCTGATAGCTGTATCAACTTCAGCTATCAACTATCAGCATTATTTTGAATTGTGTTCAATCTTATCGCTTTCTCAGTTTTTAATTTAGAGATCGTAAATTCGTAGATTCCATCCTAAACCAAAAGCTTTACATTTAATTAATCAAAAATTTCTGTAAAAGAAACAATAGAGAAAATAAAAACTAAAAAAGGAAAAGGAAAGACAAAAAAAACTTTAATCATACTAATACAAAGGAACATGGAACTTTGTGCAGGATGGAGAACACTATGTAGGCCAGAGGCAATTACCCAGGTCACTGTGGGTCAGAAACATTGCTTATACCAGCACAAGGTCACTCTCATGTGATTACATAAGGTGATGCAGAGACTGCTCTCTAGTGGCAGCCCAACCACAAACTCACAGACCCAATGCTGCTGCTGTGACACCTCTCAGGTATAAGACTTATCCCAGTAAAAGCGATTTAAACCTCTAAGTTAATGTAACTAGTTAACAGTTTTTGAGGCACATCTATACATTAGTCAAATGCCCTAGCCTATATGAGTTAACTAGCCTATACAAATTTCAAGTGATAATGACTGAAGGTAAATGTTTTGAAATGTTTAAAGTTCTCTCCAAAGAATGGAAGTATCATCTCTCTCATAAATTATTTATTTGTTTACTTCTTGACTGTTAAAGCAAGTCGTTTTCACTCAAATTTAGCAAAATATGCAGCCTAATCTTAGCTCAGTTAAGAAACGGATTTTTGAGTATGTCAAAATGTAGCCTATATTTGTAACCAAACGCATCTTCAAGGTTGCAATATTTGCACACTGAAAACTCAAACACCATTAATCAAAATATTAACTATGTCACAGAAAAAAACTCCAAAGGACTTAATACTTTATTATCTTTGCATACTGAGTTACATTCATAGACCCACGATTTGCACAGGGCTGTTGTCGAAATTCACAGAAAGGCGGGAGCTACCTCGAATTACTTCGTCTTCGTCTTGACATTTAACTCCTCGTTTCTCTCGGAGACTATTAAACGCCCTTCCACAATATTTTTTGGGATGACGAATGCCCCATTATAGTATGACGACCAACAGGTGTTTGTCTTGTGATAGCAAGAAGGCGCCAAAGCGTGTTGCATCATCAGTATCCCGTCACTATTACGGTTACATTTTAGTTTATATCGTCTACGAGTTTATATTGTCTACGCAACATAAAATAGCAACTGTTATACAATTTAAACAATATTTTATATACTTGTAAATATGCATTATCACAAAATCTGTTTGTATGTCTACAAAAAGCTTTGAAAAGATGTTGTTGTTGTTGTTAGACACTTGTTGCTACATCAAATCTATCTATCTATCTATCTATCTATCTATCTATCGTGAATAATCAATCGGATGCGGCTGAAGGAGTGAAGTTTTCCACCCCTCCCGTAGAGATGCTCACAGCTGAACTCCAGTGGCAGCTTCAGTAACACACGTCCCCTTGGAGACTAGAGCAACACGTGATGCGTCTACTTATCACGTTCACTGAACAGCGCTCAGGAACACACTTTGAGGAAAAAGTGACTTTTCTGACCCTCATTCGTCGGAAGTGTCGATGGCCATCATTACTTTAGGGAGCTAACACAGTAGGCAATGTGAAGTATCCAGTTGGCGAACTTTGCACATCCTCAAATACGCCATTTTGATCGCTCTCCGGAACAAGTTTGCAGTTTTTTTTTTCGAAGTCCATCATCTCTTTTCACCATCACCATGCCTCAGCACAATCAGCCCAACCCTGACAAAGTCAAGCGTAAGTATTGTGCACTTTTCTACTTGTTGTTGTTGTTGTTTACGTTCTCCATCCTGCCGATTGCAAACTTTGGTCGATGGATACTATGTTGGAAGTTTTTAAACTTGGAAGACCGAAGATGTTGAGATGATGTCCGATCTTTTTTCCTCGCCCGGGGTTTGTGCTTCCTCGTTTCGTTCTCGCATCCAAAGGTTGAACGCCTGACTACAGGAATTCACTCGCGTCTAACCAGCGCACATGTAATTCATACCTGAGTTAACTTTAGCACTTTAAATAACCATACATTCAGTGTCACTAATGTGGCGTTATCTCCCATTTAACAAAAGGAAGTTTAGCTCATATATTGTCATCAAAAGTGAGTATTTTAGAGTGAACCGAAGAAGCATCCACATCTGAACTTTGATCGAGGCTAACGCGTGGGGGGTTGGACACGCTTCCCTTTATATTGTGACCTTGTCGGGACATGTTGTATTTACGTTTTATTTGTGCTTTCGACTTTTCCTCACCATCGACAAGTTATTATTGTTCACCAAACCACCCTTCTTTCGTCAGTCACACTTTGCAAACTTAATGTTTGGGAATGTCAAAAGTTTCAAAGGAGGAAGTTCGCTGTCGTCGTGACTATCTTTGGGTTGGGTTTGCTGCACGAGATGAACGCCGAAGAGGCATACAAGAAAAGTCGGCTTTTATATTTGCACCAAGCAGCCACATCGACGATACAATTTAAACCATCTCAGTTTTGGATTACTAATTACTCGGATGCATCATATTGTTCGTGCGGGTGTGTATGTGCTTGCGCCCTCCTCCCATCATCCTCTGTTCGTTCTCGCGTCTCTTTGGAGAATCAGAATGTGCAGAGATCCGGATGAGCAGTTCACATTCCATTACCAAATTCAACACTGGGCTCCAGGAGGCCTGCATCATTCACTCGCTGCCTCCCCGCAATCCGCTGACTTTTAACTACATATTGGTTGATTTGTACAGTAACTTTTATACCATGCACTAAAGTGCAATGGGGCACTAACCTTAAAGGGACAACTTTGTACCTTATCTTCCCTTAAAAGTTGCATATTACTACCCGAAAGTGGTGTAAAGTACTGTCTAAACCTTTTAGAGGTAAATAAAGGCCTTTTTTCTTTAGTTGGTAATCTGAGGATATTGCTGAGATTATGCTGTGGTTTATGGT